ATTGCATTGTGTATATTCAGAAATAGCCGACGCCGCGAGGTAAACATGTGCAGTAAAGTTGTCGATTCGACCAAATTCTTGGCATCGCATTACCGCCCGCATATTTTAATGATATAAGTCTTGTCGCGGAATGTGTTAATGGACGGTATTGACCAGTATAGTTAATAGTGAACGGACGCCGCGCCGACCCGGCCTCGACTAGATTAGGGGGAACTTGTAGTACATGATTTATAATATTTTAAACCATTTTAAAAAGCAAGCAATTCTCAATTTGTAAATAATTTTATTTCCGTATATAATTTGCATATTTTGTGACATCACCGCCAAATATGAAACTATTTTACAGAGTTCTATAAAAAAAGAGGTTGTTATATGTACATATATTCGCTGTTTCATGCCAACTAAAAACCATCCTGATTAATTTCTGGTAATTTTACCTAAATAATTTATCAGACTCACCTGGCTTTCTTCTCGTTCTATCAAGAGCCACTAGTGCACTATCATCCTATAATATACCATTTTATCAATTATTATTGCAATTCATAGAGACTGCTCCTGTATCGTATCTTCTTTTTCTTTAGTCGTTCACTCTTGACAGAGTTGTTCGTCAGTCGTGGCTTTCATGACGCTATCTCTTCGTTGTCCTCATAGTCCAGTCCCACAAAAGTTTGAATGATGAGTATTGTATCATTACTACCTAAATTACAATTACCGTGAGTTTTGTTTTCTATAAATAAGAAAAAGAAGAAGCTAGAAAAAGAAACCATCTAGTTTTATCAAAAAGAAAAAAAAATAAGTTGCTATTATTATTCTTTAGTATCTGCTAAGTTGTCTTCAAGTTATGGCGTAACCAAGGGAAATAGCGATGTGTATATATATTTTAAGTTCAGGTTTATATTACGATTATCTACATACGCAGGCAATAATAGTCTTCATCGATGTATGTATTTGTACAATTTAAATTTGTGGAATTTAAATTGTACAAACCCATTGAATGCGCAACTATACAGGCATATGTAGTATGGGAATGGAACCGATTAGATCTCATGCTCGGATATCCATTAGGACGTCGAGAAAATCTAGATTTATGTTAAGACTATATAATAGCATTGTCTCATTTAGATTTCCCATACGATACTCATTCCTATAGAATTAATACGGCTAACTAACAACTAGTGTTACGCATTTCCCATGAAGAGACGGTAATAAATCCTTAAAGAATGCTTTATTAGTTCCTAAGTTTCATCACTGTCTAGAAAAAACACGATATTCCGTGTACTCTTTCATAATATAGTGCTTTGTATGTAATACCACCATAATAATAATCCTGGATAATTCACATAGCGCCTTCTAGTCCCAAGCTAAGCAGAATCTGTGTTATAGGTACTAGACGACTGATATAAATTCTTTTTGCTGCATGTTATATATAAAAAACATCCAGACCCATACAAAAAATCATACTCATGAATACAAGTGTTTTACCGTTCGAGGAATCGAACCTGCGACCATCGGAAATAAATCGCTAGACCACCGAGGCCGTCATCAATCTTAGTTCAATCAACTTATAAGTTCAACTCATCATTATATTCATTTCAATATGTATATATTGTCTGCAGAAATATCGGGAACTCATAAATAATATTATAATCATAAATATTTCGTTTATATATTACTAGCTATTGCCCCGGCTTCGCACGGGTGTATATGTATAATACATATATAAACCTTCCTCTTGAATCACCCCACCTATTGCTGCATTAAAAACCATTGCGTAGTTTAAAAGATCCAACGATATAAAATAACCGACCTCATTTTATACTATGTAAAGATGCCACTTTACTGCAAAGTCGAATAGTATGCGTTACAAAGTATACTTTGGAACGTCTGTATCATTTTTGAGATCGGCATTTCATTTCATCCAAAGAGGTCGAAGGTCCTAAAACAAGATGATTTTGGATCCAGGGGTACTCGTGTTATGTTGCAAATATATATAGTACTTCTGCTGTTTCACCTACTTCATCCTACTATTGTCACTTTACGAGTAATATCAGCTCTTCGTAAATATTAATATTAGGTTATTCTCATATTAGGTACAGCGCTAAGTCATGATCGAATATATAGATTTGAAGCAGTTCATGTCTATAGACGACTGCCAGCACACTCCATCAAATTACCATCGCTAGAGACAAAAATATTAGACTTTACACTGTAATTTCATATCATATCATAACTATCCCTTAAAACCGGAACACGGATGGTAAAGCAAGCTACATTAAATCATGGCTTTATGAATAAAAAGCAGGAAGGCTACATTCATTATGTGTTGTAGATCTTTATTAAACCCGTTTAACATTATAATAGAAAAGATTTAGTACTTAAAAATATTTATTATACTAGTTTTTATTAGCAGACAAACAAAAAAGGGAACAAAAGCAAAAAGCGATGTCGCTGGTCTATTTATGACGCAAACCCACGTATTGATGGACTGTGTTTTGTACCATAAACAAAAAATGACATTTACATCGAAAGAGGTCAGAATAATCACGATCACTGTCTGTGGTCACTTCGTGTGACAGTTACAAATGGTACTTAGCACTAACAACAATTCGGCACCAGAAAAAAAGTATTAAAAGGATGCACTGCCTGACTAATTCTCTGACTTGTCATTAGAATACAATAATTAATTGATGTCTGAATAATTGCTGTTAGTAATATTGAAGACTACGTGTAAGTTTCACGACTTCGCCTGCACATAAACCCATCTCTCTTTGTTTTATAGGTAAACTCGTAGTTGTGTAAATAATTCGCATGTGGGGGAAGAAAGGAATTGTTAATACCAGTGCAATGTGCATTATCAGGTTGACCTGCACGTGGTCTACCAATCCCTGATAATCATCGCGATAATTTGGCTACAATAAATAACATTATATCACTGGTGCTCCGTATTAACGCAGACGGGTGCAACATTTCATATTCATTCATATTAAATGTCGTACTAATACAAACATGTATGACAATATGAAGCCATTAATAGAACAAAATAAAAACTCAGAACAAAAACCTATCATCATATAACATTAATTGTCTCATTACATACTCGTAAATAAAAAATAAATTTCGATCGATAATTTTAATGTTTTTGCAAAATTGTAATATTAGCGTTTAAACAGCCTATATAGTACTAATAACTTTAAAAGTTTCTGTATTTACATAATATTTAATAAAAGGTAGAAAACATTACTCTTTAAATACATAACGACAGGTTTGAGGTATAACATTTTTTATATATTAAAATCGTATTGCAAACCACGATAGATTTGATTATGAATTAAAGTTAGAAAGAACGGTGAAATGATCAATCATTACGTAGAAGATCAATATCAAACGGATAAGTTTTCCCTCAAAAATCATATCCTGTGTCTTCATTTCGGGTCCACTCATTATTTCGCCATCTTATTAAATTCAAAGTACGAATCGTGAATTGCAGTAAGTTTCCTGTCATTTTCTTGTACTGTTCATATTATATGCATATTGGTACAAGATACTTAAGTATAGTGTACGACGTGTAATGAAGGCAGATTTCTTGGGCCATTACGACTAATAGTGGCTCAGCTACTGGGCATTTTTAAAATCATTTGTAACTAGTGGTACACGCGACTTCGTCTGCGTATGTAGTCATTAATATTTATTAACATAGCATTCCGTCGTCTTTTACAAATAATAATAATCTTTATTTATTTCAAATAATATAGTTAATAACATATTCTGTAAAAATATCTTCATAAAACCAGGTAAAACCTGGAGAAACCTCAACGCACAAACAGACAGGAAAACACTTATTATATCGTCACAATTTTACGAGTTTATTATATGTAATATTAAACGACAATATGTTTCGAGAGCTCTTGTAAAGTTTTTCATTCGAATTTTATAATAATCGAAGTCATTACAACTTTATATAATAATGTGTCTTATGTCACTGTGATAAGGTACTCATTTGGTATTTAATATAATTGTGAATTTTGCTGTAAAAGAGACTCGTCTGTTTTTTTACGAATGGAACGTAATAAGCGCCCTTGAAAAGACTTCAACGCTTAACCAATGAGTTCGTTGATCCAGCGCCATTATTAAGCTCAGGTTTAATCTGATTAACTCTAAACTATTCGTTGTTATGTAATCAAATTAAATTGTTAACCAATACATTAGTGAAGCTTGAAGTTAGATAAATATTCGATAAGTAACTATTGAATTTAATGGGTTTTACTTTCCAAACATTTTGTGAACTAAAAACATTAGAAAAATATCCACCCTATCTTGTTTATTTACATCTTATGTAATCTGTGTTATGTATAGTATCTATAATTAACACAAAAATCATAAAAGGGAATAATGTAAGTAATTTTTTAAAAGATCGTTGCCTTTACCTATTTATGTATAGGTAGGTAACTAGGTACTCGCCCTGAGTTCGCCCGGTTTTACATGTATTATACATATAAATCACTCTATCTATTAAAAAAACCGCATCAAAATCCGTTGCGAGGACGAACATACAGCGACAGTGACTTTGTTTTATACTATGTAATGATATAGTATAGAATTATACTTACTTCTTATTTAAATGAAATATGTAATAAATGTTTTTTTTACTTAAACGTTTGACTACATTATTTGTTAAAAGTTGTATTAAGAATTTTCTTTCACATGTGTATATTACCTGTAATATAGATATATGCAGATATTATCTATATACATTTATTTGTAAAAAAAAATTATTTTGCATATTCATAATATTAAATATGTTGAGCAATTATATTATTATACAGTATGTTTATATTTGTACAATAAAAATGAGAATAAAACGTAACTGAATAAAACTCATCGCATTTAACTCTCATTGCAATGCAATCAACCCGATGACTATTCATCGTCAGTGGTGCATGTCAGTCATTAGTGCTGATTGAGACTATAATAGGTTTTGTATTTGGGCGTCTAGCCGGTGGATGTCAGCAGTACAACGGTGGTGCGTGACCGACGGGTGGCAGTACAGCGGCGCGGTGCGCGTCGGCGGCTCCGCTGCACTTGCACCGCACCGCTGGCGGCGGCCTGACCGCGCTCGGCTCCGGCACTCAGTCCGCCTCGACTCTCCGGTAGAGCAACACCGACCGCGCTCATGTACTGCGCGTCGACTTGTAAACTATTGTAAAAGTAACGCAATCAGTAAACATACTGGAATCCCGCATGCAAGCTGTTTCCTAAACTTTTCGAGGATCGTCGGCCCGTCTGCGTGCGTGCGCCCTTTGCCGCGTTCATGAAGACGATGTACTGCTTGCATTACCTTTGCCGTGCTCACTTGTTGCAAGAGGTGTGGCGGGTGGGTGTGCGCGCACGTGCCTGACGTGCGGAGCGCGCGGCGCGCCGGCACAGTGCCGCGCGAGCGGGCGTCGAGCGCACAGCGCCGCACGCGCCGGCATGCCACGCTAACGGGAGCATGCGGCTCCCTTTGCTGCCGCTGATCGTGCTTGTGCTCGCGCGCCCTTCGGCAGGTGAGAATCATGCTGCAGTGGTCCACTACTCGCAATGCGTTCATGATACACTCGCAGTAGTACAGTAGATATCATAATAAAATATTAAAAAATTTAACTTCCCATTTTTCATTTCGATCCAAGAAAAATGAATCGTAAAATTTATTAATTTTGATGTGCAAAGCGAAAATTGTATAACCTGTAATTAATTTATCTGTACATGGTGATAATTTCGACGAAGTCGCTTGACCGGTAGCTCCCGTTTGGGTTAACACGCGGTAAGCGAACGTTAAAATGTCCCACTTAAAATTCAAATTTGTTTCACGTTCGGTAAGTAATTCTGTATATTTAACTACATTTCAGGAATTTATAAAAAAATATCTTTAAATTTTATATTCTTTTCAATAAACTCAATGTTAAGACGGAAAAGATTCATATCAATTATGTAAAGTGTTATTACAAATCATTCAGTACAATAATCATCTTCAGAGTTTTGGTCAGTTAATTTTCAATGAACACGATGTTTTTTCTGGACCTGATAGTGGTCGTATAAAGTCGACGCAATAAATCCAAACTGAATACATGAATTTAAATTGGTGCATTTTCACTAAGAATACTTGGCAAACAAAGTTCTGACGTGAAGTGGCCGCCAATTTTTATATACTCGTATATGTTTATATTGTAAATTAGCTAAATTTATATTCAGTAATACACATTGTTGAATGATTGACATCTTCCCGTAAATTGACGTAAATCCTATGCTATTGTAATAATATAATGGATAACCAAAAGTATTCAAAAGCTTTTCGCGTCAAACAAGTCTTATTTATAATCAAAGATCTTTTAAATGTTTTATCTACCACTAAAACACACTTCATCTTCCACATAGCTTCAAGTTAGGCATCAACTAATTTTTCATAGGTGCCTATTTTCAGTCAATACTCAATATATATAATACAAATACCAAAGAGTTCACATATATAATTTAAAATATGACTTGACAACCGAAATCTATGAGAACACTCATTACTAAGTAATTATCTTTTTAAGCACTGTACCACTGCTTATGTGATTACTTATGTAACAAAAAATAAGTTAACTTTGGGACTCTTCTAAATACTTAAAATGCAACATAATAGATGTATTTGATATTATTAGACATAAAAGTATCTAATTTTAAGAGCTAAACTAAACTGTACCCTTTTATTCCTCATTTGTATTTTTTTATACAAAACGTATCGAGATAAACAAAAATTAAATAGCATGTTTATAATTCATAAATTTATATATATTTAATTTAGATATTCTTTGTCGAATAAATCATAATTTAGTAATTTATGAATATATAAATTACTAAAGAACTAATACGGAGGGAAGGAAAACGGATAAATCCATCTATTGCAATAAGAATGATCGAAATCTATTCAGTAACATAAATTAAAATAACTTTAGGAAATCGGTTGACTATTGTTTAGATTCAGATGAGTTTAGAAAATGAATGAAGTTTATTTGGAACTATTCTAATTTGTGATTTGTAGTAAACAGTCTCCACTTTTTCGTGAATAAAATCTCAATCTGTCTCAATACAACTCGGTGACTCACCAGCCAGTAGTAACCAGCAATCTAATCATATGATCAATACAATAAAACAAACATTTTATATCTTTATAGTTTAGTTCTTAATATGACGGCTCGTCTAGCGGTTTAGCACACCGTTACACTTCCGATGGTCGTGGGTTCGATTCCTCGCACGGTGCAAACATTTGTATTCATGAGTATGATGGTTTGTATCGGTATGGGTGCTTTCTATGTACGTTATGTATGTATTTACAAAAAAAGTGTCCAAGTATTTATATCAGTTGTCTAGTACGCATAACACAAGCTCTGCTTACCGTGGGACTAGATGGCGCTGTGTTAATTGTACAGAGTTATTTATTTATATCTATATGAAGTGTCTATGATAGCAACTTGATCCGTATACACACTTTAAAACAATGATGAACATGATAAATTATGTTTATTGAGAAATAATTATATGTATAACAAATTTCCATAACGCATTATTTCAAAATTTTCTTATGCCTAAATTACGATAACTGGTAGAGTGAATTTAGATATTGAATACAATTTCGATACAACATTCTTTTAACATCTTTATGGATAACCAACTTTAGCCTATCAACGAAACACTACGCATTTGCTTGATGCATTATATGCTTATCAAAACGCGGCTAAAGTCAATATTTAAATAACAGACAACACGTAATCTACTCATATAAATAAAATTAAAGTGTATGTTTATAATTTCAAATTCACTTTTCACATGAATTATAATAAAAAAAGTATCTTCTGTCTGTTTGTTCTTGCTAATCTCTGAAACCGCTAGACCGATTTGACGGAATTTTTACTCGCAGATAGCTAATGTTATAAAAAGTAACTAAAGCTACTTTTATTTTAATAAAAAAAACAGTTAAATTTCACGCAGATGATAGTAAAACAACAAATAAAATATAAAAAACATTGAGCTATAGCTAGCATAGTTGGCTATATACGAGTAAATTGTCTTTAAAAACGAATTTTAACCATAACTAAGTACGATTTTCTATGTTCTTTATAATAATTTATTCGAGCATACATAAGCTAGTCATGCCTTATACATGGCCGGCAACGTTTAAGTGAAATTAACAGCATTTAGCGCCTAGTTGTACTACGTACTTAATATCCACTTACGTGTATAACATAATATTTCTATGTCTGGGAAACATCCGTTCGTGCGGTTACGTAGAGTCCGGCTTAATCGCTATTCTTGGATAACTTTACGAGCAAAATGACTATACTTTACATTTTTTTAAATAAACTGCCATTTAAAAGTACTTTTTCACGTATATTTTATTTTGTGGTAATATCTTGTCTGTTTGAAACAAATTTTATATCACCATTAGTTGATTCGATTCCCACACATTTGAATTCATTATTATGCTTTTTTATATTGGTCTGGGTGGTATCTATGTATATTATGTATTTACAAAAAGTAATTTAAGTAAGTTATCTAAGTATTTGTCTCAGTTGTATAATATTCATAACACAAACTCTTAGTTTGGGTCTAGAACAGTGTCTACCAACTTGGGGTTCATGACTCACAGGGAGGCAATCTAATCTAATCGAAATGATCTGTTAAAAGGGCAATTCAAAAATGGAAGTGTTATAAAAATTATACGGAACGTGAATTTCAATTTTAAATTATATATATTGAAAATTTACTGTTTCATTAAGAATTCCTTAGTGATTTCTTCCTAAGACCTATTACTTAACTATCTTAAGTGAACAAATAATTTTTTTATTGTTATAAATTATATATATTACATGGGGGGAGGGGGAGGGGAAATTTTAGAAAGACTAAAGTGGGGCATGGCTCTAATATGCTTGGGAAACACTAGTAGGGTGTTGTGTGAATTGTCCAAGGATATTATTATTATTACTGTGTATTGAGTCATTATCAAATGGCATATAGATCTGTTCTGGGCTGCTTGCAACCATCATCTTCTGTATGCTATAACATCCGTGCATGCAATTATGAAGACATTGTAACGTATGTACTCATATTTGATTAATGTTGGCACACTTCAGTATAGCTCTATCTAGTAAATGTTTGTTTCATTCATTCATTTTACATCTTGCATAAAATGTATCCTTTGAAGTTGTTTGCAACATCTTGATGGATTATATGCCAGGTCAAGGCATAAGATATTTTCAACCAACTACTCAAAGAGTTTCATTTCTGTGGTAGTTTTTTTATAGATATATTCTGCCCTTACGTCAGAAGTGGATGAAAATTATTTCCATGATTTGCTTTCAACAATTAATTGTGTATTAGTCTCATATTTGTGTTCGTAGCGTTCGTAATTAATTCCTTTAATTACAATAAAGGTTTAGGCTGGACTCAAATACGACACTGAGTATTGCCATAATATTTCTATCTTCTTTATTGAATAAAAATACATTATTTACAAACTACACCATCCTCCAGGATGAAAAAAATTTGTACAGTTATTTTTCATTTTAAGGAAAATTTTACAATTAGTAATAGTAATAGGTAGACACTAAAATGTCGTCATCGTATTATATATCATATATACGATAGTGCCTTTAATAAGTTAGAAATTTAAAGTAATAATAAAATATTAATTATCATGTGACATCACGTTATCATGTGACGCCCGTGTTACCATTCATACTTTGCCATTCTGGAGGATTAATATATAATGAAGATTATCTCACCATACAACTGAAATATAAATTGGAAAGGAAGGCGACTGAAATAGGCAACACAGACGTGCTCACCGAAAAGACTTGTACAAAATCTGCCTCGATTTGCGCTTCTAAACATCTGCAAGTTTCATGACCATTATCTGCCTGATAGATGGTGTGTAGATAAAGTTATATAAATCTGTAGTCGTACTGGTGCTATACCTCTGATATTTTATAGTATTACTTACGACACATTAAATTAATACCAAAATATTACAACCACATTTATGACACACACATACAGATATTGGTTATATTTTTTTAAAATAGAACCTTAATACCGTTCATACTTAAAATTAAATATTAATTATGATAGAATATCGAGCACTGAAGAACCACATTCAAATGCAATTCGCATGTTAAATTTTTGTCGTCACGATGAGCCAAATTTTCGTTTGGAGATGGCTGCAGTTGTTTTGGTGAGGCGAGGGCATTTGCATGTGTAAATAAATATTAAAGAGTTGGTCGTCTGGCCGACGAGGCGGCTCGGCGGCGGCGGCGCCCGCGCCGATCATTCGCCAGGAACCGCATATCAACCGGCTGAGCACCTGCGGGCTAGGGATGTGCGGAACACTCGATGGTTACACTATTGATTAATAATTATCGGTAATCATAATAAATTTAGTGTGTTCTTAATATATGGTATAGAAGAAGGCAATTATTAAATGAACGAATCAATGAAAGTAATTTGAAAATTTTAATTTAAAAAAAAA